AGAATTCTCTTAATAACCTAAAGGGTATAAATAAGATTAACCTAATTTAAGAATAAAATTTAATAGATTTTAATAGAGTTAATAATGTTTTTTCTTTAAGATTAAGGGGCCTTATAACGCTAAAATTTTAATGTTTTAATTAAGAGAGTAGGTAAGTATAATTACTACTATATAAGGGCTTATAAAAGGGAGCTATAGTAAGGTTATAAGAGCTTATAATATAACTAATAAGTTATATTATAAGAGAGCTAAAAGAAGTGAAGAAGTTAATTATATAGAAGAAGAAGAAGAAGAGCTAGCTAGAGGGTAGCAGCGTAGCAATAATAACCTGGTGCCTCACACGTGACCATGTGGGCCCTAACATCTCCCATAATACCCGTCTCCCACAAGACCTGTCTCCCGTACGACCTGTCTCCCATAATACTAGTCTCCTATAATACCAGTCTCCACAATACCTGTCTCCCACAAGACCTGTCTCCCGTACGACCTGTCTCCCATAATACTAGTCTCCCGTACGACCTGTCTCCCACAATACTAGTCTCCCACAATACCTGTCGCCCATAAGACTAGTCCACAAGACCTGTCTCCCACAATACCTGTCGCCGCTAAGATAATACCTGTCTCTCCTAGGACCAGTCGCCTACCGGTCGTTTTTGCGATGAAACGCTTCAGCTATCATGCGCTCTTGACAGTAGCTACTACGTGTTATTGAGATCGCACTCGTTGTACGAGGAGCGTCGCACCTTAAAACTCTCATCTTAAATCTCGTATCTCAGATCTCACCTCTTAAGTTTCGTATCTTGAATCTCGCATCTTAAATCTCGTATCTCAAATCTCAGAACTTAACCCTCGGATTCAAGCGTTTGGAGCTTTAGATCTTCGCAAACGAATACTCGATAGCCCACACCCAGAATACTTAAATACCTCACCAAATATGATGAACCATTTTGAACCATGCCAAACTGACTGTGATGCAGGCTATCCAACGATTAATTGAATCCTCCAAACTGCAGCTAAAACCTTTCGCAATGCTACCTTGTATCCATGTGCCTCCAAACGTAGTAAGACTATCTAGAGACGGTCGCCGAATGTCTCGTTTCAGCACAATAGAGACCGAGGAAAGACTTGGGCTCGAGAAGCTAAATCGGGAGTACAATTCCGCAAACCAAGTGGCACGAAGGCGGAAACCGCGGCGGATGGAGTTTGATATTATGTTGGACAAAGCGGAAACAATGCTTCAGGTCACCCAAGGAAAACTGAACGTACTCGCCAGAGAACATAATGCCCTTCCCCAGCGTTTGTTGGAATTTAAAGGCGTGGCAGAAGACAATGACGGAGAAAAAGCAGCAAAGGGTGCTAAAGCTGACGTTACGTTCAATGATGTGGAAGAAACGCGTCAGGTCCCCGAAGACAAGTTGAGCGAACCTGCCCAGCAAGAGAATGCGCTACAGCAACTCTCCGAGGAGGATAAAGAGACAATCAAGCAGTTCACAGCTCTTTGGATCAGAACTTGGGACGAAATAGAAGCTACACACGACGACTATGCATCTAGTCACTGAACACATCAGCCTGACATCCAGTAGGATGGCATCTCAATGGGGTGGAAGAGTAGAGACCCTCTCCGATTTATTCAATGTTGTGTGGATTTTTTGTTTAGATTGCTCAATGATATACTGCTTTTAACACAAAACAGACCTGATGAACTAGGAGAGAGGACTGTAGGCTAAGTCTATACTTCATTCACACGAGAGACAGCCAGGAAACGGCTTTCTTGCAGAGCAAATAAAACAGGGCACCCTTGCCTGTGATAACCTTGGCATACATTTACGTTGACACCGCAGCATTCTGTCTGTCGGAAATATTCTGTCCATAGTGTTGTCTCTACAAAAACTTTTGCGTTCCACACTAACTTGCTCTACCGTGCTCAAAATCCATTCACCAAGGTCCAAACTACTATACAAGCCGCACCATCCCTCGCCTTGCGCGAGAATGTTTTTCCACGAGATGGTTTCTGAAAACCTTAACCCTGGCACAATCTTTTTTTTCCTCGCTCTTCAAATTTAATGGATAGGCATCAGGCCAAAAAGGAGCATACTTTTGTAGCCATCGGACTAAACTTCCCACCAGCACAAGTCAACATTGCGCGACTACATTGAGGGTATGTATGTATGACTACTGTTGGTTCGTCAAAGGGAAAAGTGATGCAGTACTGCAACGGGGTATCAATAAGTCAATTCAAGTCTATCTTCTTCTCGAGGGAGGAAAAAAAGGGGGAGCGTTGGTAGTCACAATATCTATCTATGGTGTCTCACCCAATTGCGGGTCTACACATGATGTTACACGTGATATTAAGTTGTGAATATTGCAACAACTACATTGAGGGTTGTTGTTGTTGTTGTGTATTTTCCGTCCAGTGGCCTCAGGCCACTCAGGTCCCCTAGCGGGGCACAGGACGTGCTAGGCTAGTGCTAAATTTGCTCCGTGCAACTACGTAAACAAAACACTATCTAACATGGCTTCAGCTCAAAGGCGCTCACAGTCTACTGTTACCCGTCAGCGGGTTGTGCAGGTGATAGTATCTACTGGACCGGCTCGGTCTGTGGTGCGGGCTGCAGTAGCAGCCAGGAGATGCGTGCGCGGACAAAAGGTGTTGACACCACCTTCCGCCTGTCGCCGCCAAAGAAGAGGAAACAAAGGAAAGGGAGCACGGGAGTGCTGTGGTAGAGAATGTCGTCTAGCGGAGCGGGCAGATCTTCTCGAAGAAAGAGCTTGCCTTCACCAGCTTGACGAATTTGTCGAAATCTCTGCCTAGTGCTTGGTTGATCGCCACGGTCGGTGAGGGTGCGAGTCTCATCCGACAGCGCGGCTGAATCTTCCGGCAATAGAAGAGGTGCGTCGGCGCCTTGCGCCGACCGCAAGAACATGTAACACACGCGTCGTTGTGCTGGAATCTTTCGTGGTAGTCAGCAAAGTCACCGTGATGAGTCCTCGCGGCGAGGAGGTGGTGAAGCATTGTTCGTGGGAGAGCTAACTCCGGAGGGCAGCTAGAAGGGAACTTGAGGGTCAGTCTCTGATACTTGTCGGGTGCAGAAGCATCCCACCAGGCTTGCACTACGGTCTTCGACCGCTGTCTGGCGGTCTTTCGCAAGAAAGCCAGTGTTGGGACTGCGTCTGCGGGTTCGGGTTGGGCGCATCCCGTCTTCGCCAGGATGTCGGCTTGTTCATTTCCTGGAATCTTGGTGTGTCCGGGTATCCAGCGGACTTCGGTCTTTCGGTGCGTCTTTGCTAGGGCCTGAAAGGTCAGGAAGACCCTCTGCGACGAGTCTGGTGGCTTGCCTCGGAGGCATTTGGCAGCTGCGATGTTGTCGAGGCATACCACTATTCGTTGCGTGGCAGACTGGGGAAGCCTAAGAGCGGCTTTGAGGCCCTCCAGCGCTCCTTTAGCCTCAGCGTCGAACACCTCCGCAGGGCCGAGGCGTCCTGCGCCTTGGCAAACAGAGCGTCTGTTTTGATGAACAACATAGCCGTATCCGGCGGCACCGCTGGGGGACAGAGAGCCGTCAGAGTACACGATAAGACTAAGCGGCGGGATGGTTTGGAGCCATCGGTCGAAGTCTTTGGCGGACTCTTCTTTGGATGCAGTTTGGAGAGGCTGCTGTGGTTCGTGGCTGTATTTACGCGGGATGAGTACGGGGCGTTGGCAATTCTCCAGCAGCCTGTTCGTCCTCCTCAACCGGGTTGGAAAGGTCTTTGGCGGGAGCTGGTACTTCAACTTGATACACTTGATGATGGGCCGCGGCGCTGCCTCGGTGGTGCGCTTGGCCAGAGGGTGTGCCTGGTCCAGTGACTTGATGCGGGCTGAGAAGCAGAGTCGTCTTGCCTCCAGGAGCTGGTGAACCGGCGGTATGCCTGCCGCTTTCTCGGTGCAACACAGCGATCGGTGTGGTCTTCCAGGTTGGGAGGATGGCTCGGATGGCCTGCTTGAGGGCCTTGCTCATTTTCCGCACAAGCTGCTGGATTCTGGATGTTCCTTCCTTCGTCGGCTGTCTCCAGCGTGGCAACGTTGTGCCTGGGTACCAGGCTTCCACGCCAAAGAGCAGTATCGGCTCGACACAGGCTCTGACGGCCCTCTGCACAGCGCTCGGCAGGGCGCCGCGTCGGGTGTTCCCTAGGCTTCGGAGGTGGTGGGCGACCGCCTGGGCCTTGGCTGTCCACGTCTCGACATGTGTCTTGAATGTCAACTTCCTGTCCAGCCAGAGGCCTAGCCAGCGCATGGCTGCCTCTGGTTGCTTCTCCGCGTCACCATGGCGGACAGGTGGCTCTGTTTCCCGCCTCCTCGGTGAGAAGTGCATGACTTCTGTCTTCTTCGGGTCGAATGAAATGCCGTTGGCGGCGCCCCAGTTCACGAGTTCTTGGAGATATTCCGACGCTGTTCGCGATGTTTCTTCCAGCGATGGTCCAGTGCAGAGAATGGCGGGATCATCCGCGTACCCGAACCGTCCTTCGGGATTGCCTAGCCGATAGATCGGTTCCGTGTAGAGCAAAAACAAGATCGGAGACACGGGCGATCCCTGTGGAACACCGCACTGCAATGGCGTCGTCGGTGTCGTGATGTCTTGGTACCTGACTCTGGCGGAGCGGCCGCTCATGAACGAGCCTGCCCACCGCGCAAGATTGTCCGGCCAGCCTTGCTCACGGAGCCTCAGGACAAGCCTGTTGCACATGGTTGTGTCGAAAGCTCCCTGAATGTCTGCAGTGACCAGTGTGGCCACCTCTCCGCGTGCGAATGCCTCTTCGATATCATGAATCAGCGCGGCGACTAGGTCGACGGCCGACCGTTTCGGGAGCGCGCCGGCTTGCTGTGGGTGGAGGACTGCATAATGAATCGATGCCCACGCTAGGCGGCGGGCGATCAGCCGCTCGAGGCCCTTCCCAAGACAGGAGAGCAGAGAAATTGGGCGCCAAGCCCTGGGGCACGACAGATTTCTCTTTCCCGGCTTGGGGATCATGACCACTTCTGCTTCTCGAAATGCTCTCGGGTGATGGCCAACCGTTAGACATCCCTGATAGAGGCGACAGACGTGTCCCCCAATGGTGTTCCATACTGCCTGCAGCAACTTGACCGTGATGTTGTCGGCTCCAGGCGAGGTGTTTCCCGTCTTGATCGTAGCATCCTCTGCTTCTTCCAGCGTGACTTCTTGGGCGAAAGGTATCTTCCGGACTGGGCGGACCGGGATCCATGGGTCCGTAATGTCATCCGCTGCCGTGCGGCGTTCAAGAGTGCTGCGTCTCAGCGCATTCGCTTTATCCAGCTGGGTTTCGTATACATCGTCGCCAATTTGGAGCGGTGGGGGTTGGAAGGCTCCTGGTGATTTGAGCCATCGGACTGCCTTGTAGACTGATGCGCTATCCGAGAAGCCGTCGATGAGGTTGCGCCAGTACTGCCGCTTGGCTCGGCGGACCACACGCTGGAACTCTCTTCTTGCTAGTTGGACTTCCTGGCTGAATCCCAAAGGGAGAATTCTTCGTATGGCGCGGCATCCCGCAGCGGCTTCGGCGCACTCGTCGGTCCACCACGGCGCACTTCGCGTTCCTTTCCGTATGGGGCGACCGGCTGCTCTGGCAGCTGACTGGAGGAGGTCAACAAGCGCCGCGGCGAGTGTATCAAGCTGCGAGGCTGTTGCCACGTCCGTTGGTACTCGATAGGCTCCGGCGGCAACGAGTTCCTTGAAGCGTTCCAGCTCCTCTTCAGTCGTTACCCGCACTTTGCCCGGCACCTGTGGGAGGTTCAGGCTAACATCAGGAAATATGACACTTAGAGTGAAGTGGTCAGAGCTCGTGGCGAGATGGTCTTCTACAACCGCGGATGCCAAAGCGATGTTGGAGAAAGCCAGGTCGATTGTGTTGCCATGCGGGTTTGTCGGCACGTCCGCTGTATTCAAGAGATTCAGGCCGTTTTCCGCTGCCCAGGTGGCAATATCCTCTCCACGGCCCTCCAGTCGTCCGGTTTGCCAGGAATAATGCTTAGCATTGAAGTCACCAGCTACAAGGGTCCTTTCTGGTGCCGACCACCGCAGCAGGGCGTCCAGGGAGACGTCATAGTGCGGTTGGCGATAGAGGTTGACGATAGTGACGCCGTTCACCGTAAGCCACAGGATGTCTCGGGTGACTGTCGGTCGTTTCTGGTCTGCGAGAATGCGCGAGTCCTTACGGATGTATGTCATGACCCTCGGCCGCGTATCATTGCTGTCCCAGCTGTCTACGGGCGAGTAGGTGTCGTAGGCTGGGTGAGTCTTGGTGAGGCATCTTGAGTTCTTTGCCTCTGTCCAGGGTTCTTGGAGAAGGACGATGTCATACTTTTCGGAGTCGGCCAGTGCCAGGGCGCAATCGTGGGCCGGCGGGATCTTGCCCACATTTGCTTGGAAGACCTTTAGCGTCTTCCTTTCGGTATTGTGAATCCTGGGCGCCGACTCATGGAGAGGACGGGTTGGTATTAGCACGGCGCCGCTTAGGTGATGTCGGCAGAGGGCGTCTCGGCGCCGTTTCCGGTCCGAGTTCCACGGCCCTGGGGCGCATCGGGGACGATGACGGTAGAACTGGTAGGGTGCAGGTGAAGAAATTGGTCAGGGCTTGGGGGTTGACGTGTTCCTGAGGTACCTCCATGACTGCCACTGGAGCACGTTGCTGTTCTGCGACGGTCTCTGCTGCTGGCTGGCCGCTAGGTTCCGTCTGAGATTGCTGTCGCTGCTGTGCAGCCTGGTGTTGTTGGAAAAGGCGGGATCCCGTCTGTCTGATTAATGCTCGTTGTTCTTTGGGGAGACGATGAAGCAGGCCATGGGCTCTTTTTGGCCGAGCCGGGCATGCCGCAAGGTCCACGGCATGTGGTCCGAGGCAGTTGGCACACTGCTCGGGGGCAGTACAGCTGTCACTGGCGTGGTTTGTCTTCCCGCAGCGTCTGCATCGTGTTTGTCTGTTGCACGCATGTCGTGTGTGGTAGTCCCAGCAGTTCTCGCACTGCCTGGGAGGGTTCCTTCTTTCGATATGTCTGGCTAGTCGGCTGGTGCCAAATAGGCTCCAAGGTCTTTTTGTCGGTTCAAGGAAGGAGATGATGAGTGTCTTGTAGGGAAGCCGTTCGTTGTCACGGCGAGGGACTCGGATGCTGACCGGCGTGAGTCCCGTCTGGTTGTTTATTTCGTCACGGACTGAAGCATCGTAGTTCAGTTCGTTTCCGTAAAGGTCGGTAAGTCTTCGGGGGCAGTTGTCTACGGCATAGGTGTACCATCTTTGGCTTGTCTCAACGGCAGTTGCCCCGAGATCATCGGCCCAATCGGCTTGGCGTTCTACAAGCAGATCGCGGGTGGGTTTGTCTGCGGCACGGATGGCCCATCCGGTGTTCACTTGGAAGACTTGCGGGATTCGATTGAGCTCAAGGCCCGTCTTGCTGGCTACATGAGCTCGGATGGCGTAGCCGATGTGGTTTCTGGCCGGAGCGTCGGCTTCAAGGCGGACGAAGACCCGGAGGTCTTCTCGAGGTGGGGCGGGCACCGGTGGTCGTTGCCCTTGGCGATGAGTGGCAGCAGGTTTTTGTGGTGGGTGGTGGGCAGTGTTTGTCGTGGCAATTCGAGTCGGAGAGGCACTGGCATTGGCGGCAATGCTGCTATAGGTTGGTGCAGATGCGCAGTTGGTGTTGGTCAGAGCTTGTTTCCAAAATTCGAGGAAGCTACTGGAGAAGTGCTTAGCGAAGTCGCGTTCTGGCCCGGTAGTAAATTCCTTGGCAGCCTCGTTGAAATGTGCACAGAAGGTTCGGAAGACCCTGAGTTTGGCGTTGTAGGCGGCGACTTGCTCGTCGACGAGCTGGTTAGCCGCATCGGTGATGTCAATGGGTGACCGCTGCTCATGTGTGACCGTCGTAGGCAGTGCAGGGAATTCGTCGAGCTGCTGTCCTTCCGCAATTGCAGCATTGCACATCCGAGTGAGTGGCGACGAGGGCGTCTGGCCCGTCCTTCCACGTGCAGGTGAAACGCCAATGTCGGTGGTCTCCACGGGAGCTGTCTCGGAGGAGGGCTGCGCGGGCGCCTCGAGCTAAGTTCTTGGGTGTGTAGATGCCGAGACCAAATGGATCCGGCTCGTATGGCGGGCTGGGGGTGGCCGTTGCCATCGCCGCCGCCGAGGCTGCGCAACGCGCAGAAAACGAAGTTTTCGAGTAGTGTTAAGCAAATTGGTGTAATTTAGTCTACTTTCTTAACAATTGCATGCCAAGAAAGTAATAATACAGGGGAAGGTGAACTACATTGAGGGTTCACATACTCAAAATAGGTGTAGGGTGTCAAGGCTGGTTTATCCAATGCAGCCCTCGGTCAAGTCGACTCCTAGGGGTCGCCAGCTGTCGCAGGAGAAAAATTACAGAAAATCTGTTGGTGCAGATTTCAACGCCAAGGCAAATGAAGAGATTAATGATGTAAGAACACCGCCACCTCAAGAGCTAGACACCGTTGTGATATGTCTACTTACATGTGGTAGTATGTTAATGGATATCTCACGATTCGTTACAAGCTTGACACTTCGGTCAATGAGAAGCCTGTAATGGATCCAGGTACATATCGTAGGCGATGGTTGTGTACCTGCCCCTGCGCCAATCAAGAGCGTTTGGCCACGTGTCCCGCTCACTCCTAATTCTGAACTCCAAAGCGTCTAGAAAATTGGCTAGCTGGAAGTAACCAAACCTGGCTGGTAGGCTCACTCCAGGGTGGCCGTTAATGACACTCTCGAGTGCATTCACCGCTGCAATGACATGCATACGTCGAATAGGTTTATTGTTCGGAAGAGATGTTATTTAAAGAAGAGCAGTCTAAGAGTCTATAACTGTTTCCCAAGTGTCGAAAAAGCTCTTTTCGCGTTAAATTTAATGAATCTTCCGCAAATATCCTTATAACGTGATACTTCATCTGCCGTTCTCTCGGTCCAATCGTTGGTGAATATGGGGGTGGACATTGGGTAGAGCTGGCTAGGAGCGATTTGAGAAAAGACATTTTCCTGTCTCCCGGGACTGATATTGTGGCGACGTGGCATGTTGATAGCATTAATGCCTTTCGTTATGCCTTTCGTTAGAAAGGTCTTCAATACCCGGCTGCGATTTTCGCGCAAAATCGCACGCGAGCGACACACGTCCATCCCAGCCAAAAAGCACGAAAAAAAAAGCTCCTGACCGAAACAGGAAAGTCTTCCAAATCGGGAAAATTGATTCGCCTCCAGGCCTTCTCCGGGCGTGGCTTGCAAAACGCTTTCCAACTCGCTGGCTGCATTTAAGAGGCATTGACCCACAACATTACACCAGCCAATTAAATTGGCTATACGGTTCTTCCTCTACCTCCAACTGTCCAGTAGCATCAAGTAGCCATTTTAGCCCCCAAGGCAGTAATGCTACAAACTGTCCAAAAGGTTTCCCGCCATAACCAAGTAATGGATCTTCGGTGGGGTTCATAGAGTTGATCATTCGTCTGGGTCCTTTTTTCCCGCCCCTCATCCTTCTCAAATTAAGGGTTTTGTTACCCTTTAGTGCTCGACATGGTTGCCATGGTTATCGGCGGCCCTCCCTATCCAGCAACTTGGTCCGATGACAGTCCCGTTTTCGACGTCTCTTCCTGTCGACGATCCCATGCTGCAATTGTACGCTGGCTCAGCTTCTCCAATCTCCTGATGGCTGCTAACTTCCTCTCGTCTAGCCTCAAGTTGAGAAAATCAACGGGTCGGACTTCCCGAAGCAGGTTCATGCCTGCGATCGATGTGCATCTGGATAACTGAACGTACGCGGTGGTGTATTCGCACGCCGACGGCTCCCCCGAAGGTAAAAGGTGGTAGCCGTATAAGCCAAGCACGACGTTGGGCATCGTCTTTGATTGTGCTTTGAAGTCCGTCATGACGAATCCGGCAGTGCATGGTAGCCCGTGGCGCTGACACCGCATTCTTAGCCGGTTCTTCCGGCTTGGTCTCAGCGTCACTTTCTTGCTGCATACCATGACGGTACCGGGTGGTATTCTGGAAAAGCGAAATTCGCCGTGTTTTCAGACTTAAGAAGGACGGCAGAGGGGGGGCCAAAGTAGAGATTGATGCCCATTTCGGTCTCCGGAGCTGCGGCGTCCCGCTCGTCAGGGACGGCGATGGTTGCACGCACGGGGCAGTACCGACTATCAGGAACAATGCCAGCTGCCTCGAAGATACTGCCGTTCACGACCTTCAGGCCAAGATAGACATTTTCGTTCACCATGATTGGCATTCCATCGGCATATACGAAGGCGGCTGGGATTGCGCAGTTATTGTCGTCTCCCTGCTCAAAGACTCTCATCATCTCCTCCTCGGACGGCTGTCCTCCTGTCCACTTGTGCGACGACATGAATATCGACACGGTCTTTCGCCTCCTCTTTGCCCACATCATCACCGCCTGAGAGTTGAGGTCCCACCGGTGTCGGTTCAGAGGCGTGATGACCCGTATATCGTCATCATACGGTATCTTACCGTCCTTGACGACTCTGCTGTTGATGAGGGCGAGGTCGTCCGGGCCCTGCTGAAAGTTTCGGAGCTTGGTTAGAAGAGACCGCAGTTCTGGGTCGCCGCACGCTCTGACCTGCTCCTGGAGAATCACCACGTGCTCGAACCTCAGCCACAGCTCGTGCGCATGTTGGTGATTTAGGGCCGCCGCGTACAGCTTCCCTGTGCAGGCTTCAGACGGGAACAGGATGCTCTTCTGCAACACAGGTCCAAACTGGAAGAAATGTCCGCTAAAGAGGACAACGGGAATGCCACCGAACGGCGAGTTGCTCGACCTTAGGTGTCTCAGCTTGTCATCCATCTGATAGAGGAGACTTCCACCGAGCATGCTTACCTCATCCACTACGAACACCTTCACTCTCTGCCATCGCCACGCCTTTTACGCATCTTGATACGCCCCTGCTGTGAGTGAGTCTCCCTTCTCGACGGCGTCACAGTCTGTCCCGCTCGGCGCAATTCCTAGAGCAGAATGTAGGGTGGTGCCGCTGATCCCAGCCGCTGCCGATCCTGACGTTGCGGTGACCATTATTGCACCCGGTTCGTTTTTCTCCTGCAACACCCTTCTCACCGCGTCTACTACGCGGGATTTTCCAGTGCCGCCCTCTCCACCGACGTATTGCAAATGCTGGCCCTGGTCATTTTCGCCTTCATACCCTTGATGTGCGTGAAGGGCCTCCATTATCATCAGATGGGCAGTGCGTTGGAGACTGTTCAGCGTAAAGAAGTCGGCAACCTTCCGGCCCAGCGCCATGTATGACGACGAAGGACCGAGATTCAATGCGATGGTACTCTCCGCGAGAAGCTGGTGATCTTCGGGTGTAGGGAATACCACTTCACCTTGGCCAAATCCGTCTAGCACTTGGGCGTGGGACGGGCGTTCGCCAGCTACCGTAAGCTCCCCTCCTTCAAGCTCTTCCATCCTTTGCTTGTGGACTTCTCTTTGTTTCGCCCGAGTACCAGCGATAGCTCTCTGACTCATCTTCTGCCCGGTGATGTGGCCACTCGCGACGTCAGAATCTGGAAGACCTGGCAGACCTGGCACCAAAATGCCGTCATCACTTTCCCGTGGCGGGTTCGCGTCAATGGCCCCCAGCAGTTTGTCAAGTGCAGCACAGTCCTTCGTAATTGAACGTTGGTCCGTCGTTTGTCGCCGAAGGATATTCCCCACCAGAGTTTGAATGACCGCCGGCTCCGGCTGATAGCTTCCCTGCCACGACGATTCAAATTCCTCTTCTGGGGCGTAGATCTCGTCTCCTTCGGAGCGACATGCCCACAGCTGGGCATCCTTTCTCGCGTCCTCGGCAGACTTGTTCATCAGGGTACTCGACCTGACGAGTTCTTGGATGACTGGCCTTAGAGTTGGCCTGAACTCCTTCCAAAGATTGAGTGGGAGTTCTGCTCGATGTATGAACCTGTCCCACGGCACGAACAGGGCCAGTAGAAGTACAGGATTTCTGTTGCCATATTAACCGATCTTCCTTTCCCCACGCTGAACTCTACTTACCTCTGAAAGTAATGTTCGACATCTTCTTCTAAGTCTGTTCCAAGGTATCCGGTTATGACTGGCGTAGCTGGTTTATTTGAGCGTCGCAGTACCTGGACCCACCTCTCAGCAAGTTCACTGTTGGTGTTGAACGAAACCTGAGTTGCCCAGGCGAAGACTTTTGTGCCCCGTCGACGCAAAGACACAAATGACATATACTCCCAAAAGCTCATGTCTGCAAGAGCCTCCCCACGGTGTGGATAGGCAGCGTAGTACGAAAGCTTTGGGCCAAGGTCTGTGAACAGCACTGACTCCGGCGAAGGGCCCTAATGCAACTCATCAGTAGCAAGCGTCTGCACTCCCGGCCAGTGGCGGAAAACCGCCCAATAGAGGGTGTTCAGATTAACAAATTCCCATTCCGTGTTGTCCGTGAAGTCTGTCTGCAATCCCAGGAGATGGTAGCAGACCTCCACGGATGACAGCTCTCGATCACTAAATATCTTGTTCGCCCAACGGTTGAAGAACTGTCGAGTGCGGTTGTTGCGTACTTTCTGCCGCCCATCGGCTGCCGTGTAGTTCGCCGAACCTTCTGCGGCGTCCTGGTTTCCCTGGAGTGATTCCATTACACTGGCGCCCAAGAACAACCGCTTCCAGGTCGGCGTGCTCAACTTGGTCGCGTAATTCGTTATATAGTAAATCATTGACAACCCCTGCGAGCGCGTGTTAAGGAAAGCGAGGTCGAAGTTGTGCCGCAGGCCAACCGCCATAGCTTTATTCCATCGGTTAATCCGTGGATGGGACCGCTTGAGGTGCACAATTCCACGCTCGGTGATCTCGGTGCGCGCATAGCATTTCTGCGGCATCTTGAATCGGCATAGGTCTGCTTTCTTCCTCCGTCCTTGAGTCTCCCCTTCAGCAGCCGCCTGCCGGTACGAATACTTCACGCAAGTGGCTCCGCACGTGTGGTATTGACACCGCCAAGCGCAAAAGTTGGCTTGCTCCTCAAATTCCAGACCAAGCCGCTCCCTGTCGTTCATCAAGTCCCACACACAAGCGTATGGAGACTTGGACCTCGGCCAGCGACGACCACAGTCCTCATCAATGTCCTAGCGCAGGATTAGTAGACTACATGACTTAACGGCGTGGATTTCACCTACTTCGCAAAAGACGTCATCGATATACTGGCATATCTTGCGCCGATACTCCTCCTCTCCTTCTTTGCAGGCGTCCTCCAACAACGTGGGCAGGTAAAGATTACCGTGGAGCCACATCAGCCCGTGAAGATGTAACGCTCCGCGTTCATTCGTCTCTACAGTTGCGTAGTACTTGGACACCTTACCAAACACCGAGGGCTCTCCGACCCGGACGTAATGCTTGAAAAAAGCCTCGATCTCCCGGTGGAAAAAGATGGCGGAACTGACAGGATCGCTGATACTGAGATGGTGATATCCGAATCCTTGCCGAATTTTCTCCAGCATCTTTTCTGCGTCTTCCGCGGAGTACTTTCGATGGGCTGCAAGCCGCAGCTTCACTGGATTGTTTAGGTCATTGGGGTTGATTGTGAACCATATACTCGGCATGCCATATTTCAGGCACAACGACTTGATTTTTCGCCGCATGAGCATTCTGCTTTCATTAGAAAGAGGATGGCGATACCCAAATGCACTTAGTTCTCGAAGCAGGAACTCGATATCTATGTCAGTGGTGCTCCTAGTTTCTTTATATTCCGTCTCTGCTGCCTGAAGCCGGCTAATCGTCAGAGTGGGCATAATTTTCTCTAACCTCAAAAATGACGACTTGGCGATCCTTGCACCGCTGACCTGACGATTCTTCGACCGGAGATCCATATTGAAAACCAAAAACGGAGAGATAGAATGCGTTGCAAAATGGGCTCCTATTTACAGGTGGCAGAGACTCTCTCATATGCTAGGTGCGGTCCATACCTACCAAACCGGAGAAGGCAGAAGCGCGCCCAAGCTGTCAACGTAAAGTCTCGTTGTTTCCTCTCGCTCCTTCCAGCCACGCCATCGCCCTCAAGATTCCGCGGCCCCCCTTTTCCCCAGGGGAAGAGGCACGGGAAGACTTTTGGGAAAAATTCGGGCGCGAATGTGTCTTCGAAGCTGTCCCCTCGCCGGTTAGCAATAAATGGTTCAGAATCCCCGTCCAAGGTAATGAACTGCTCCGGCTCCGCCGCTATGTGGATGGGCTTCCCTTCCGCATCTCTCTCCGACTGCATTGCCCGGCTCAGGTGCTCCAGCTTTTCGAAAGTCGTCGCCTCGGGGGGAATATCCACCCCCATCATCCCAGATGAGGTGATTTCCTCAATCTCTTCCTGAACCCGCACTTCTGCATCAGCCTCCATGTCAATATCTTCGTCCGTGTCCTCAGTCGGGTCATTTCCTGTTGCAGCCTTATCCGTTGCCCGCAAAGAATCCATAATGTCCCCGATTGAAATTTCTCGACTGCTTGGCTCTCCTCGTTCAGGCGCCGGCACATAGTGCCCCGTCTGGATGACATCCTGAGCATTCGGCACATACCGCTCCATGTCGTCAAGCAGGGCCCTTGGTATCTCATCAACAGTATCTGCATATTGCTCCATATTCTGTGTGCTTATCTCGACATGACGATACAGCGGGTTATGCTCCTTAAGCCAGAAAAGTGCCTTTCGTATCCTGAGGGGCCGCACGCGAAGCAAGAAGCTCAGGTCCTGCGGAAGCGGCTGTCGTGGTCCGATGAAGCAGACGTGCAGGGATTCCTTGTGCTGAATGATAGGGGCTGGGAGGACGTTGCTGACAAGGCCTTCCAGGTTGTTGGGGAAGATCGTAATGTGACCCTTCTTCAGCTTCCGATAGTCTCCATTAGTCTTCCTCTCCACGGATATCTCGATTTTCGTTACCCAGCCGTACGGTTGCGCCAGAGCGATGAGTCTCTCCTCCATTGGACTCAGGTCACGAAGCTCTTGCGGATATCGGTGAAGGCACCCAATGGCAAGATTGTTCACAGAGCAGGCCCTTGGCACGCAGCCCTCAAGGAGAGACTTGCAACAGCCAGAGCAGAAAGATGAGGTGGCGTGTAAGCTGGCAGGGAAGCACTCTCTGCACTCCAGAGTTCCAGATGTCTCAACTAAAGACCGAATGGCGGACCCTTCTGGCAAGAGCTCTTGCCATGCTTGCCGACGTAAATCCCCCGGCGCCGCCATTTGCTGACAGAGATCGCAATGGGCTGAAGGTAAGCTTGTCCGAGAATGCAGATCTTGGTAGAAGGATTGAACCGAACTTAGGACTAGCTCTCGAGGGACGCGGTTGCACCACTGTCGAGTCTCTGACTCTAGTAGGCGCCCGTTGAATTCATCATCTTGGGCCCGAAGCAACTCCTGAATGGCCTCTCGAGCATACGAGTTGTCATCATCTACCTCGGGCGTCCGGGCTCCCCTAGCTCCCCTAGCTCCCCCCTCGGTTTCATTGACCGCCCTCGCCCTTGTCGACCTAGATGGTGAAGGACTGAGGCGTGCGGCCGGCCGACAGTCTTGAAATCTGATGTTCGCCAACTGCCGCCGGATTTTGCGGGCAGGGCCATTGCTTCCTTCGACTGCTTGGCGTTTTCCTCGACCGGCCCTGGCTCGGCGGCTGTTCCCCGACATTGATTCTACGGTTGCGTGTTTAAATCTTGGGAAGACAGGATCTTCCAGCACAAATTGAATTCGAGAAGGGTATGGTAAAACGCCGTCGAAAGGAACATTCGTGGGCCAGCCTGCAGGTGGCCTGGGTAATAGCGCTGCATCTGCATGTCTTTTACGGGACATTGGCTTCGGACAGATTTCTCCTAGTTACTGGAATTCCAGATCCAAAGTTTGTAATGTAAATCAACAACCCATAGAACGACGACTTCTTGATGATTCAATCTCATGACAATAAGTCTCTATGGAAAACTGGAGCAAACCTACGCTCATCTCAACCTCGTCTCTTGATGTTTCTCAGGACCTGCTTTACTGCTTACCCTCTTGAGAATATGATCTCATATGACGAACGGGATTTCCACCAATACTGCCGCAAATCTTCCAGCCATTCCATACATCCAGTCACGTCATACCACAACATACCGACCACAAGGCAACAATGCGGCCTTGGTACTGGGTGCAGCTGAACCAACAACGGACTCGTAGGGAACTCAATATATTGATCAATACACCAATCAGGTTTCCCGGCGAGCAACACGCATAAACGGCCCCCAACTCCCAGCTTCAGAAGCTGCCGCATGCTTGCAAAATGGTTGTCGTCCGTCATTTCCTATATAGCAGTCCTTGTAGTCCACTGAATAACATATGTTCCGGGCCATTCGCGAACTGAAATATATTCGTGACTGTCCCCGGAACACATATAACTAACTATATACACTGAGGTTCTTTGACCCGCGCCATAACTGCTTTTGGCCCAAGTATATTGCATCCTTTCTAGTCCTCGTTGTCTTTTGCCTCAGTGAATTTGTCAACGGAATATAAGGAGGTATAATTGTTCAGCAAGAGAGCGCGTTCTTTTTGTTGACAGAATTGGGGGCTGTGACGCCGGTGGCGCCTGCATGTTTCGATTCCCCGGTCCGCTCACATTGCATCATTCACAACCCTTGTTGCCTTTTGCCTTTGCTGGCCTATGACGGTACACCGTGCCGCATATATCTACCGAAGCATATCTACCGAAGCAGTCCAATATATCATCAACTCATGACCCTTTCTAACGAAAGGCCCATAGCGCCCGCGTGCGGGCGGTCTACTCGTTCGGGATGACATGATGTTGTTTTCAGGACTTTACGTTCAGTTATCTGTGCTGTAATCGTACGAGTTCCATGGTCTTTTGTATTTGGACCCTTGGCTGCGTAAATAAACATGATAAATCTAGGTACCCCTCGCTAAGCGTCAAGCCATCCCATTTTGGGTAATTCCATCCATTTTGGGCCTTAGTTGATCACTTCCCGAGGCGAACTAAGATCATGTGCTATGTGCTATGTGCTATGTGCTATGTGCTATGTGCTATGTGCTATGTGCTATGTGCTATGTGCTATGTGCTATGTGCTATGTGCTATGTGCTATGTGCTATGTGCTATGTGCTACGTGCTGCGTGCTACGTGCTACGTGCTATGTGCTATGGTGTATTGGCAACACATCATGGTACAACAAATGATTAATGAGAAAATGAGAAATATCGTCTTCTTCTTCTTCCCCTCTGGTCCCCATAGGTTGAAAGTCGTCAGTTACGGCGGTTTTCCCTCAAACATACGCTCCATACTACGGGACGTTTCTTTCCCTAGCCGCCATATCAACCTTTTTTTCCCTTGAATCCTCACATCACTGCAGGACTTCCCATCCTCAGGCCTCCAATGACTTAGTGTTCGGTATAACCTCAACAGGACCTCAGTAACGTTGGAAATTTGATGCCCGAGGATATCCATAGCTGCCCTCAAGGTTCTCAACAAGGTTCTCAAGGTTCTCAAGGTAGCCAGCCAAAGACCGTCAAGGTTCTCAATACCCTCAATATTTTGGCGTCTCCCAACTCTTCTTAACAAAGTTCCAGCCACAATGCCTAACCGACAACTAACCTACAACCCATATGGTATTTCACCCCATTCTATTGCCCTGTCCCATTATGTCAACGTGGTTCACTGTTCTCGCCCGTGTAGTTGAGGTAGGTAGAATTCAGGACTCCCCATATCGTAATGCCCTATGTGAGTTCGAGGAAGGCAGCAGTGATGTCACAACAGGAGACTGGAGAAGCTTTCATATCGCGTTCTATGGTGATCTGTTGGATACAGGGAGAGCATACATGATCCGCGGTCAGGCTCGGCTTCCAGGGAACGACGAGGCAGAGGCGCCCAAAGTAAGTATTCTCTCCCTCCTCTGACCCCGTCCTTTGATGTTACACTGTTCTTCACCCTCCGCAAACTGCTTGCTGATCGTTATGCAGTTCACTGCCTTTGACGCTATTCCTTTGGCAACGGACTATCTGCCCATCCATCAGCTGCGCATCAATGCGGCAGCGGAGTTGACATGCACGCCACGATTTGTCGACGCTACTCGCACATTCGAATTCGAAGCGAAGCTTACGGGTTACTATGGCGATCCCGCCCCTCCAGTGTTACGCAATGACAGAGTCTTCAAAGCTTCACAAACCCGTACAAAGACTCAATACATTTACGCTGAGTAGTCTCCCAAATTTGACCGCACTCTCGGTAGCGAAAACCTGCGCGCTCAGAGCAGGCTCTTCATCGATGGGTTCTATACCTTTCCAGATGAGGAGACCCAGCAGCCTGGATATCTTGACTTGCTCGCGGTGTCCTTTAACTCGACCAACAAAGACCCTGCAAACAGTGTCGGTTCTCCAGCCAAGGGGGGCTCATCTCGTCGTAGAGATGTGCCGTTGAAGATATCACCTGCCAAGCAGACAAACGTGAGAAGGGTGCCGGCTCCTGTGACTCCGCCCAACTCGCGCCTTCCTTTGCACAGTGGGAGTTCTGCTTCAACGCCTCATACTGTATCTGACACGTTTACTCCCGGCAGGGCCAGTACCGCACCCTCCCTCACAATGGACGATGGCAGCAGGGGGGGTTTAATTGTTGATTTTGAGGTTCTCGAGAGCGGACCCGGGGCTCAAGTCGATCATTCTGCGATGAGCTCTTTTGCCCCGGATGGTTTGCAGAACAAGCGCCAGGCGACTGAGCCCTCTCAAGAGCCTTCTTCTAAGCGCAGTCGGAAGCCAAGCCAGAAAGCAAAGGAGATGTTGACCGAAGACGAGCTTGAGGAATAAGATGAATCCTTTGTTTTGGTTGTTTCTGTAGTTTAGAACTGCACTGATTCTAACTCTCTGTAGACTCTGCTTTTACGCCTTCCAACTGCCCAGGGCGTAGAACGTATAGCAAGGCACAGTTTGTTTGTGCTTTCATAATGTCTGAAGCTCGGCAGCAACGGTTTTACAGCTATAATGCCGCCACCAACGAGCAGCAAGACCGATTGCGCATGATACGCATCCCTGTTCAATCGTTTTTTAACGATAATAGCCAAGTCCTGTTGGAAACCTTTTCCATCAACACACAAGTCAACCAGCGCGGCCGGTTTCCACCGGCCGACACTAGCAGGGGTCGTTACGCAAAAGACGATGATACTATTATTGTCAATACTACAAGGGTTCGTCGTCATCGTCGTCATCGTAGCAACGAGGATACAGTATTTCTCTCAGCGAGACCTCGACGGCGCCGGGCGGGCGCGATATTCGCAGAATCTGAAGTGCGGTTTCAAGGAATGAGGAAAAGGTTTAAGGACCGCTGGAACAAGGAGTTTCCCGATACACCATGTGCCGAGTGCGCAACCTTGCTGCTCCCGAGGAAGCGTCAACAGAGAGCATTCCAGCACAGCCATGAGTACGGCATCACCAGAGTCTTCGGTGTTCCTGTAACTGGCGAACCTGGTGGCGTGACTCTCTGCGAGGACTGTTGCAAAGAGCCCCAAGCCCCTATAGACTGCGGCCAGATCCCTCAGTGCATTGCTTCTCTCCCACGGCGATCGACTCTGTTCATATCCCCTTTCAAGTTGGATACGAATCTAGGAAGGACTTCAGGGTACAACTTACACGCGACCCCCTACGTGTACCGTACTTTATCAGGTGTTATTAACACGAATCCGATTAATGAGCGAGCGAACATGCTATATTCTGGCACGCTTGGAGCTTATCTGCAGAGCAGTCCACATCGAGTAGACCGAGACCAGAATCTCGAGCATCTAATTCATGTTCGCAATTGGCTACTGCAAAGGAACCCCGTCTTCCAAAGGAATGATGTGCGGGCGCATCTACAAATCGACCACCCGTTACCAACTGCCGACCTCCCTGAGAACAGCGATGAGCGCCGACCCCAAACCCGCCCGGATATTGTCATGAACCCATTTCAGTATGACCAAGAAACGAGGAATGAAGATTTCCGGTATAACAGGCTCTCCGTTGGGGCTGTCCAGGTCCCAGAGGGGCATCGTCCAAAACCGATGCTACTTAGAACGGATCCAGATGTCGCGGTACTCTGCTTTCCGCACCTTTATCCTTACGGGAAAGGGCAATTCGTACAAGGAGAGCGCCGCGAAGATGGGCGCTCTACATACACTCGCCACATGGACACTAAAAAGAAGCTCAATTCTTACAATCGCGCTTTCAGAGACGATTATTACTGGGCTGCGTGGGCATACCAAGAAATGGAAGCTACAAGGATCTTTCAGAATACCAATCGCCTTATTCATAATAAGACGAGGCAAGCGACAGATAGTCGTCTTCCTCAGCATCAACTACTACAGCAGTCAAATTATGGGACACATTCTATTATTAGTGAAACTCTCACACATGCGATACCTGGCTCAATCCGAACCGGGGAAGCTTATTTTCTCGAAAAGGAGCGCCTTGTAAACTCGATGATTGCAGGCCACGGACTTCCTCAACTTTTTATAACGCTGACTTTCAATGAAGGCTGGGAAGATTTTAAGGACATTTTGCGGTCTATCTCTCCTACTGCTATGCCATCCAACCATCCATGGGAGGGGGTCCAATATTACTACGAGAGGATCCGTAATCTGAAATCCAAATTCTGGAAAGGGAAGTCCAATCACGCCAAATTTGGGGCCCTGAAAGAGCTAATCGAAAGATTTGAATTCCAACTACGAGGCGCAATACATAGCCATTGCCTATTGTGGACGGGGAAGTCTATCAAAGAATTGCTTGCAGGCAACTTTGTCCGTGCAGATATTCCGGATCCCGAAAAGGAGCCTGAGTTGCATAGACTTGTCATGAAATATCAGATTCACAAGTGCAAAGACCACATTTGTGGCGGACCCGGGAGGTACGGAAAGTGCTCCAAGGGCTTTCCAGCAGACGTGTCGGGCAGGACGTTTCATCAGCCTGGCAATCCCAGGTATACTTATGCCCGCACCGAAGCTGACGTGTGGGTAGTTCCTTATAACGCTCAATTGCTATTAATCTGGGAAGGCCACTGCAACGTTCAATTCGTGACGAGCCAAGGTCTTGCCTCTTACATCACGAAATACGTCACCAAAAACGAGCCACTCTCTCACGTTCTTGTGGGCGGTTGTACAGCAACCCAGAAGCACCTGCTGGCTCGCAGAATGGGATCTATGGAAATAATCGTGCTGTGCTTAGGATTGGACATTTTTCGTTGCACCAGCGGATCTCTCTACCTTCCAACCAGCACCCCCGAGATGAGGAATTATTCTGTTCGTCCAGCTAACCATATCCTCGAGCACCCTGAGGACGCTTATTTCCCAGACGCTGTGGAGAAATATTTTGCTCGACCAAGACTGCCTGGATTCGAAGTCTTGACCTATTTTGACTACTTTGCATACTATGAAGTAACGAAAACTCGCACCATTAACCGACAAGGTCCTCGTGAAGGGTGGCAAGATTCATTGGGATATTGGGTCTATCAAAGGAAAAAGCCCATCTTGATTCGCACTTCTTACCGACGACTTTGTGACGGAGAAGTGTTTTTTTACGTGCAGCTGCTTTATAGATACCATTGGAGATCAGATGACGAAATCATTGCGAACTCCGCCACCTACCGTGAAAGGCTTTTCGAGCTCGACGCAGCACTTTATGATGCTGCTTTACGAGGACATGCTGATAGAGTCGAACATGGCAATCTGGCCCTCGGAAGGGAGTATTGCGAGATGGTTCAAAGAATTGCGGAGGCGGCTCCACCAAATGTCAATGATATGGTGTCACAGCAGCTCCGGCAACTGAATACCATGTCTGTTCCAGGACTCGCCGATGCTGCGAGTCTTACCCTGAAAGGTGAGCAATACCAGTGCTATAGCACGGTAACGCAAAATATTTCTGCATCTAGGCATCAAAGCTGTATGTTCTTTGTAACAGGGCCTGGTGGGACGGGGAAATCTTTCCTCCTGCGTGCCCTGCAGTATTGGTGCGATAAATCCCGGAACCCTGCCTTACTGCTTGCGCCCACTGGAATTGCGGCAAGAAATATTGATGGGAATACAATCCACTCGGCTCTGTCAGTCTATAGACATAGAAGTGCCTACCACACAGGCTTATTTAGGTTCGAAGATCAAAAAAGGAAAGACATAGAAAAGAAAACGGTGCTTATTATCGACGAAGTATCGATGGTAGATGGCGTACTGCTTGACTACCTCGCCTCCCTTTTCGCCAAACTGAGGAGAAATAACAGGCCGTTCGGCAACATGCATGTCATCGTTTTTGGGGACTTGATGCAATTACCCCCCGTGGAGGGTTTGAAGGTCTTTAAGGCCTCTGTTTGGAAGCTCTTCCATCCCATCTTCCTACGACAACCGTACCGGCAGACAAACGACAAATTCTTCAGAATCTTGAACAAGATTCGGGTTGGAATCATCGATGACGAGGTAAGATGCACTCTGGAAGAACGATGGCGCCAATATAACCCACAATATGTCATGTGGAATACCACGTACCTGTCTTCCCTTCGTGATGAAGCTGCCGCATTAAACCATGCGGTTCTCTCCGGCATGCCATCAGAGAACCCTATCTTCGTTTCAAAGGCGGAGGATTTTGAAAACGGAGTAAGATTACAAAATTTCGAGCACTCGAAAGTATTCAACAAGGGGACAAACTTCCCATCGTCAGTGGTGTGTACTGTTGGGGCCAAAGTCATGTTTCTCACAAACAGCATGCTCAGCGAGAGAGGAATCTCTAATGGCTCTATTGGTGTTATTACTAATTTGTTGCCCGATGACGAAGTTGAGGCAGCATTTCCCACTAAAGACGGTATCCAAGTAAGTTTTTATATCTTGTGCCCATGGTTGAAGCTTAGAGGCACTCGACGCACCTAATGTAGTATAGGTCATGAACTTGCACAAAACTCCGTCTTATTTCCAGACAAATGGGGTGGAATACAAACGAGTACAGCTTCCAATCATCAATGCATTTGCGTTGACAATCCACAAGGTTCAAGGTCTGTCACTACCAGCTGTTACCGTCGCCTTGAATTCTAATATCTTCTCTGACGGACAAGCATATGTGGCATTGAGTAGAGGAAAGGATCTCGAGCAGGTGTACTTGACCCACTGTGATCTTGAAGCTATCAAGGCAGACCCAGAAGCAATAGCTGAATACGAAAGACTGGAAGCTAAGGCAGAATAACTCAATACACCACATTCTCACTGACCTTACTTCCACTCACCAACTCCCCAGTCTCCCTTTCCTTCTAGTTTAGCTGCCCATTTGACTGCGTAATTTAGCTGTCCATTTGACTCGTATTTTGGCGCCCATCTGGCTGCGTCAAATTTGAAGCGCATTTGTCTGCGTCCATTCGATTGCGTCTCTTTGACCACAGCATTATTTCCAATCCTTAAACTGCGTTTGGACGCCATAGCATAGGACCAGACTTGCACACCCTCTATCTCAAAGCTTGAGCAGTATCTTGGATACCACACTGGCACTTCATTCAGAGCGCTTGCTGCCTGCCATGCATTCGCCTGGGAGAACAGCGTGCGCTAAAATTTTGCCGCTTCACATTTGCAGGTACTATTTAATGCTTTCATTTTCAACGAGAGAAACGGGGAGTATGGAGAAGAAGGGGACTACAGTGCCTAACATGATGGGCTGTCAAAGGGTTGAAGTTTCGGCACAGAATGAAATTTCGTGCAAATGTTCACCCCGGGGTGGCTAACAGAATGGTTCGGTTTTAAAGGATAAAGACTCCGGAACAACGCCGTTCCTATAAATATTGAAGTAGCTACATTCAAGCTTAGGGGAAAAGCACACAAAATCATGGCGAATGACCAAATTGACGGATTATGCGGAGCTTTTGCTTTGCTATCATTGCACGATGAACCGTTCGGTGCTGCAGCACAGGTTGTGAACCAAGACAATTTAGCTTCCCTACAGCGCCAACTCTCCCAAGCACTCCTACGCCTTGTAAAACCGTATCATGCTTCAAGTCAAGCCTCGCAAATGACTCAACTTGACTTTGATGGAGATATCATTATGCAAAGTCTCACTACAGGCATGTTGACCTCATTCTGAATCTGCACCTGGCTAATCGCAATAGTGGACAACCACTCCCCTGCTGCCCCAACCACGTTTATTCGGCCTCCTAGCTTGGTCTCATCAAGACCAAAGCCGAAATCAAAGGCTGGTAACAGACAGAATGACACGCACGCAAAGCAAAGTAGGACGAAGTTCCCTGCCCAGATGCTGAGCCTCGGCCGGAGGTTTATTATGGAAGAGCCAATTCAATATTTTATGCAAACTTGGGAAGCAACATGGGTTGCTTGGACTTCATTGGTGCAGCTGATTGCCCTGCCTCCGCATATTCCAGTTATTCAACTCGACTTGGAATCAAAGGTTGTAGCCTTACATCGTGTTATCACAGGGAAAGATAAGAATCTGCCTCCTAGATTTGGCCATACCCAGCTGTTAGTGTTTTTAGACGTGCTTGAAAGACGCATTCGACAAGATCGTCTGAATCATTTGATCGTTGCCAAACGCGGTCGGCGCGACGAAACCCAGGCAATCGACATGTTTCTTAGCTCCCTAGATAGAGCCTTGAATTCTAGAACCCCACGAAGCCAAGTTTGGACTCTCAAGCGCTTTGGTGAACGATGGGATGACATGGCCGGACCGTCATTAATGCTGTTATTGGTATTTTCAAGAACCGCAGAAACATCTGTGTAAGGATTTATGAATATTGTCAAGGGCAACAACTAATTCAGCCGAAGGCTGTATTACATTAGTTCTTAAGTTTTCCCCCAAATATAATGAGGGTTTGGTGCGGACAGGGATGCGCAAAAGTTTTCCCAAATCTGATTGGCCCAGATTTTGTATGGCCCAAGGCAAAACGAGGCGCAACTGGATAAAGCTCCCAAAGAAGTGGGACATAGCCATCTGCCCCTGAATTGTTTACTTCGCTGCAGAACTTCATTCAAACAACTCCGCTTCATGTCCTTCATGACATAATGAGTACGGGGTCTGCTTCACGGGTTCAAGATAATTAGACTCCTATTATCTACGCCCGCTATAGCGAGGAGAAACCGACAGGCGACTTCATAAGCAAACGAAAATCTGCTAGTAACACCAAAAGCTGCCTGGACTGTCGTAACTCCCGCAACTCTCATGTCAGCTCTGTCTCCCCACGCCTCAAGACAATCAGCGCCAACTAAGCGAAGCGTTCCAGATCCAGGGACGCAATCCAGACGTTGAAGAACCTCGCTGTCGGCCCTTCCTCAAGCGAGAGTCCTGCTCTCAAGAGAACAGAAGAAGACGCTAGTCTATCGCCTCCAAAGGACAAATGCGGAACCCAGCCTACATAGTCGGAGAGGGTACGGCAATGTCATACAGCGAGTACGTTATTTGAAGCCTCGATAAGCCAGCCGCGTGTAGAGCTTGGCACGCCAGTGCCGCCAACCCAGCAAGGCTCATAGCTCTTCCGGACACTGGCTCCCTTACCTGCCGTGCAGCGAACGACCCATCCGATCGTGCCACTGTCTGATCCAGCTACTGTCCGAGGGAGTACAACCAGTGTGGATCACGCTTACTTGGCAAATAAATACCGCAAAGGGGGGAAGGACTCGCAAGATGACCCTTCCATAGCCGGGGCGAGGGTCAAGCTGGCCGCTATCCAGCGCGACCATCGTTCGCGACGCCGTGCAGGGGAAACTATATCACTGACGCCCACAATATCTCAGTTAGGCAGCTTTTAAGGTTCAGATGTTGCTGGAGAAGGTATCTATCCTTGTGCTGTGGTTGGTAGTATCGTCGGGCTGACCATGGGACATAGATGCGAGCCAAGATCCGCTACGGACGGGTGGGTTACAAGTTAGGGATCTGCTATCTAAGCAAGGAGACGACAGGGTCCAGTTCTCAGAGTCCGATATTGACGCTGAGGACTATGCCAACGTACTGCTTTCTCCCGCTCGTCCACGCAGGTATCTCGAGCAATTGGGAATCGAGCCGGACTCTGAATCGGGTGAAGAAGACGAGGACGGTGACAGGGACAATGATTTTGTGGATAGAAGCCCTCTTCGCCGTCGGCCGCTGCAGCCCTCCGCACAGCCAAGGCGTGGCCGCCGTGGTCCTGCTCCAGGCACAGGAGGGCGGCCAAGAGGGCCTCGGAGGGGAACACGAACACGGTCGTCGAGACCGCCACGACGTCTTCGGAGTCCAGTGATAATTCCACCGGAAGAATCGGCGGTCTTCCATGCACAAGATCCGGTGTGGAATGGCGATCTCGAGGCGTGCGCCTTGACCGACCGCGATAAGGCCATCCTGCGCGAGTTCTGGACTAAGCTTGACAATGATCAGATGGAATACTGCAGCAGATGTCGCGAGTGTTGGTTTCAGATGGAAATAGATTATGAGGGCATTTGCTCGCGTTGCTATCGAAAGGATGAGAAGCGTGGCCCTGACGAGCCTTACTTCTTCTCTGCCGAAAATCATCTTAACTTCGGCCCCGTGGCGACCCAATTGCCTAAGCTCACGCCTACAGAAGAGGCATTAATTACTCGCGTTCACGTCCATGTGAACATCATGCTAATGCGAGGGTAATAGTACAAGTATTAGGGGCATGTCATTCACTTTCTTCGCGAAGTTAGCTTAGTGTATAATTAGCTCCCGCTTTTACTACGGGAGTTAAACACGGTATTACTGCGTCCTGCTAATACGTTATTACACGTTAATCTCAGCCGGTAATTTACCCGCTAGTTTCGTGTGCGCTAGCAGGCGGTTATAATATGGCTTAACTACCTCCGCCATCACTATCCTAGCTATTAATGTATCGTTATTAACGATAAGCGACTAAGCTAACTGTTAGAGGACGGTAATATAGTGGACGCTATCCCCTAAAGTTAGGTGGAGGCTGCTAACGTGGGACCGGAGGAAGATTAGGAGGCAGAGCCTAAGCTAGAGGACGCGGCTGCGGTGCCTAACCTGTTAGCTAAGGATACGGAGCTTAATGCTCTACGGTCTATTCTCGCGGGCGAGCTAGAAGCGAATGCAATGCAGCCGCTTATAATAGGTTCTTAAGGGCGGGCGTAGCACGAGCTACAGCTACCAAATATACGGCACACACCAATTAATAAGTTTAATCGCTCTTATGCTCTTCTCTTATTAGCATTCCCTTGCCTCTTCCTAGACGATAAAGCTAACTTTATAGAGCCTTACTTACGGTTAATTAAGTATAAGGATTATATTAAGCACGTAATATAGTGGTATAACGAACGTTTTACGCGGCACTTAACCTTTCGTTTTATCGCATTTAACACCCTTATATGGTTCTAAGCACGAGTGCGATTAAAATTCTTCGTAAAGTAATATAATAGCACCCGCGAACCGCTTATTACGAACGTCACTACACGAGACGCGGGAAGCTAGGCCGCACTAGTAAGGGTAGGCATAGCTGCTAACTAATAAGGACATTAAGTCACGTGATAGCTTATTAAATTATATAAATGATTTAATGAGATAAAATTATTAGGATTATTAGGCGATTTAA